ACCCTCATCCAGGTTGTTGATGAAGATCTGATTCTTTTCTTTAAAATTTAATCATAGAATCATAGATTCCTTTAGGTTGGAAGAGACCTTTAAGATCATCAAGTCCAACCATTAAGCCAACACTACTATGTCCTCTGCTAAAACAGAATCAGATCTGTCAGGGTTGGAAGGGACCACAAGGATCACCCAGTTCCAACCCCTCTGCCATGAGCAGGGACATCTCCCACTAGGTCAGGCTGCCTAGAGCCTCATCCAGCCTGGCCTTAAAGACTGCCAGGGATGGGGCCTCAGCCACCTCCCTGTGCAACCCATTCCAGGGTCTCACCACTCTCATGGTGAAGAACTTCTTCCTCACATCCAGCCTGAATCTGTCCACTTCCAGCTTTGCCTCGTTCTCCCAAGTCCTGTTGTTACCCGATAGCCTAAAAAGTCCCTCCCCAGCTTTCTTGTAGGCCCCCCTAAGATACTGGAAGGCCACAATAAGGTCACCTTGGAGCCTTCTCTTCTCCAGACTGAACAGCCCCAACTCTCTGTCTGTCCTCGTAGGAGAGCTGCTCCAGCCCTCAGATCATTCTGGTGGCCCTTGTCTGGACACGCTCCAGCAGGTCCACATCCCTCTTGTCATGGGGGCTCCAGAAATGGTGACAGCTGAGTGGATCTACCCAGTTCCTTGTCTGTGACTTCAAGCACATTTTAGCAGTCTCTTAGTTATGTCCTTTCCATTGAAGGAAGCTACAGTGAGGCCCTCTGCGTGTGGTGCTGTGTCCCAGTGAAGGCTGGTGGGGGTGTGTGTTCTCCTGAGTTTCATTTTGTTGGTGGCTGGGTGGAATGCTCTTGGCTCAGTGAGCACTACCAGCTGCTCTGGTGGATGCTCCAGTCCATGGCTCTTTCAATGGCAGTATAGTGATAGGTGATGATACAGCAGGACAGGTTGTCTGGTTTTGTTGAACAGAATTAGTTACTGTAAGGTCTGTGCCCTGGTTGTATCTAATGTAATGAGAGCTCATGCTCAGAACAGGGTTTTGGTAGGGACGACTAGTGCTTTGTTTGGCATGGGAATTTGAGTGCTTGGAGAGGAGCAGGAATTTCTGTGTGGCTTTTGGTAGGGATGTGTATGTGTGTGCTGTAGGAGCAGGCTGTACCAGAGAGCACTGCTGTCTTCTGTTACAGGTTGTAGTTCCAAAGTACTCAACAGAGTGAGTTTTTTTTTTTTCCCCTCCTGTTTTTAAAGGAACAAGGCCACATCTCTTGCGGAGACAATCCTCCTCGCTGCCTCCCAGAAAAGCAAAATCTGAGAGCAGCCAGCTCCTAAGAGCTTCTGTTTCATTAAGTACTGGTGAAGCTTGTTTATTCTATCCTGGCAGCTGCCAAATAGGGGAAAAATGTTTTTATTAAGTTAAATATTAATCTACTCCTCCTACTATTGCAGCTGTTATTTCATGAAAGCTCTCTGGCTCTGACCACTATAAAACAAGATGAACTGGTGCATCTTGCCTTCAGCATCTTCTGGTTTTAAGTGGTCTCACTTCAGATTAACTACCTGGCAGGAAATAAGACAATTTGGTTACCTAGCTGTTGTCCCTTCAGACAGTAGCATTTTGTAAGAAGGCATCATCTATTAATATATTTTGCTAGCCTACAAGTTTTGCTTCTAGAGAGGGCTTCTTAGCTTAGTTTTTTGGGGGTGATCTACTGTATAAAATCAATCCAAGCATGCTTGGAAATTGAAAAGTATGTCATGGAAGAGGATTGTCTGCCTTGAAACAGAGCTATGGGAAGAGGCAAACATCTCTGTGGCAGCTTAGAGCTAACAGATCCTGCTTCAGTTATCTGCCTTTTCTTTCTTTTCTTAGATTGTGTGCCTCTTCCTTTTTACCAAAAACAATGCTGCTCCAACTTGCTGTAGCATAGTAGTTAAGCACTGAAACATAAACACTTGCTAACAAATCAGCTCAGGTGTCACAAATACCTTTTTGAAGAAGCACTGTTTCTGTGCACAAATTCCAGGCTTTTTCTTTCCCTCCTTGAAAATGGATTTCTTGGTTTTGTTACTTTTCAGCCTTAAAGATTAGAAAGCATGTAACAGTTTGGAATTCTGAAGGTGATCTGGGAAACATACATGTTTCTGAAGTAGCTGACCAGTAAGACTAGGTGAAATTATGTGTACTTCTCATGTGGGAAGACTTGGACCTTGAATCTGGAGGCAAACTTGGAAAATCTCAGGCAAAAGGACAGTCAGACAAATGTTGCTAGTAGACTTTTGCATAAAAATCAAAACACAGTTTGTGTTCCTGTGCTGAAGATGGTGGTTATCTGAGAGCATTCTTGAAGGGCTTACGGTTCAGGAACTCAAGGGATAGCTTTCAGCTGTGCTTTGGCACTAGGCTTAAATATCAGGAAAACCATTTGGTGTCTGAAGAGTTGGCATTATGGAACTGAATTCTCAGTTCTCAGACTCAGGTCACACAAATCACTGTCTTCTGAAGTGTAAGAGGTAGTAGGATTTTTAGATACCCAAAGTACTCACTGAAATACGGTGAGCAAGTGTTGCCTTTTTCTTTCCTTGAGGGAATTTCCTTTGCCTGCTTTTTTTCTAGTCGTAACACTTAAGGCTGCCATGCAAATGTCAGGATCCGCTCTGCATATAAACAGTAAGAGAATTTGCTCTGCAACTGGAAGCCATCCAGAGCTCAGTGTAGCACTTCCTGCAGAAATAAGTAACTTTGAACATGTCATCATTAGGTTTCTTCTACATGCATCTAGTTTTAAAAGCTCAACCTGGGGTGTGGGAGATCAGGCCTTTGGAAGTTCCTGTTGTGAGACTAAGTAGTACATCCAACAGTACTGCAGGCAAGAAGATACAGGAATGGATTACATGTGCTAGTCTTCAGGCAAGATTAAAGGGGTGTGAAAATATCTTGGTATTTTACAGTCTGTCTGTTGAAGATGAATTGTAGTCTTGTTCTGGACAATTTATGATTAGGAGGGTTAAGTAATGTTTCTCTTTCTAGCAAAGAAACTTAGCAGGTGGAGCAAGCAGTATTTGACCAGGATGGCCTATGCTTTGTCCATGGCTGATTACTTTCTCTTTTTTGCACTGTATCAGGGTATTTTTCAAAAAATGGTAAAGGGAGGGATTGCTCATCAATGGTTTTTCATGCACCCTTAGAAGTCAATTTTATGGGAAAGCCCCTGGGGAGACCTTATACCAGTATTTAAAGGGGACTTACAAGGAAGATGGGGACAATCTTTTCTGCAGGGTCTGTTGCAACAGGACAAGGGGTAGTGGTTTTAAGCTAAAAGATGGGAGATTTAGACTAGATAGAAATTTTTTACACTGAGCATGGTGACACACTGGCCCTGGTTGCCCAGTGAGATGGTCGATGCCACATCCCTGGAAATGTTTCAGGTCAGGTTGGACAGGGCTCTGAGCAACCTGCTGTAATTGTAGATATATCTGCTCACTGCAGGGAGGTTGGACTAGATGACTTAGAATGATTTGGATTGGAAGGGACTTTTCAATGATTCTATGTCTCTCGTAAGCCAGATGCTTCATAAGTTGCCTTTGTCTAATAATATGAGAGAAGAAAAACATGAGTAGACTAAAAATGGTGCAACTGTGTCACAACTGGCTGCAATAGAGAAGATAACCTCTCTAAAGATACCTGAAGAAAAGTGAGCATAGGAGATTCAACTGGGATATCTGATCCCCTGAATGCTTGAACTTCAGTCTAGCTGCCTCCCAGTTTTGGCTCTCTAACTCTTTAGTCTTAATACTTAAGTGTTGCCCTGTTCTGTTGCTTTAGTGAAAATATTCTGTGCCTTCTGTAATTTCTGTGGTATGTGAAAGGTTCTGTCCAAGGAGTGGCAGCAGTGGGAGGGTACATTTGATCCTTCTTCCTGCAGTCACATCATTGAGATCACTCCTGTGTTGATGTATGAAAACATCAATGGCAGTTGCTTAGCCACAACCACAAAAAGGTTCTCCATTTTTTCTCTATAACACTAGATGGGCTAAAGTAAATCGTCGTGTACTTGTTTTATATGCTAAGGGTGTAACTGGTTAAAATTGAGAAGTGTTTTTTGGGACTCATGTACTAAGCTTAGCTTGACCTCCTTGGCACCATAAAATGTGAAATCCCAGTCACTCCAGGCATATATATGAAGATTAGTGTGTTTAAGTTGCTGCTCTGTGTCGCATATTATTCAAAATGCCCTGGTCTGAGGGGTGTGAGGAGGCCAGGATAAGCTGCTGATCTTGTCTGGGTTGGCTCTGGCTGTTGGCAAATGGTACAGGAATGTTTTCTTGATGCCTTGGTCTGTCCAGCTCTGGTGTAAAACTAATGTAAATGTTTAATTAAAATGTAGCCATATTTTAGCACAATGTATCCAGTGAGTTAAACAACTTTCTACTCTGTTTTTACTCTATCAGCAATTGAAGCCAGCTTTCATGAAGGAGGTGGACAGTCACTTCACAGAGTTTGTCAACAGTTTGGTGGCAAAATCAGCACTGCTGGATTCCTCATCTTCAACCTCCCTCTTCCCAGCTTCCTGCTCAGAGAAGGAACTGCACAAAGCTAAGTCAGTTGGTTTTAAGATGTTCCTATAGCAATGTTAGGTTTCATGGAAGTCTTATTTCCTTTTTTTGTCTCAAATGTTCTCTTTTTTGTTTGCAGGACCTCGAGGGCCCCTCCAGAACATGGAAAGATTTTTACTGCCAGAAGGTCCCTCTTGGAGTGAGTAACGTCACTAGACATTTTCCCATTAAATTGACTGAAAACACACTTGGTAGCAAACTAGCTGTTGAGGTGCTCTCCCCGCCACCAGCCACGGCCCTGTGTTCAAACTCCTGTTTAAGCTTCTCTGTTTCTTTCTAAAACATCTTTACTACAGCTCCCAGGCTTCCCGAAATGTAAACTTTAATTACAGTCCTCTCGGTATCACTGAGACAATGGCTAATTATTCTTTGTCCGAGGATAAACCGAGGAAGTGCCTGTGTAGCCTGGCACCCAAATTATACCTTAACCTCAGCCTTTTGAATTGGGGTGGCAGTGGTGTCATCTCAGCTACCTGTGACAGGCTTTGAAAGCTGATGTGGTGGCGGCGTGCGGCGCTACACGATGGCCTGACAGCATTTTGCTCTCTCCCCTAGTGAGCTGTTTGAAGTGAGTCACATCAGGACGATCTACCACATGTTCATTGCTCTTCTCATTGTCTTCATCCTCAGCACACTTTTAGTGGACTTCATTGATGAAGGAAGGTAAGAATGCTTTGGAAAGACAGGGGATGGGGTGCAAAACGCTCACTTTAAGAGTGCTGGCAGTGCATGAAACTGAAGAATGGTGTAGAAAGAAGGATGAATCCATTCTTGGGATGTTGTTGGAAGAGAGGGTTTCAACTTAACATACTCTAAAAGTACGCTGGAATTCCCGTTGAGAGGATGTGGTAATTTTGAATTGTACAGCTAGACATTAAGAAAATCCTGCAGATTGATGTAGTCCATGAGAATTAGGGCCAGCAGGGTTTGGTCTAACATGCTTGTGTCATCACAAGGCTCTCAAAAAGGAATGGTCATCATTGAATGTGGACTGTATAGCTGAATATCTTTAATGAGACTGTGGCTTTCAGCTTCTTGCATTGACAGTGTTTAGAAACTCTTGAAACACTTCAGCAGTCCTTCCTCTGTTTAAAAATGAGAGTTCTGGAACACTGTACTTGGGCTTAAATAAAAATAGCTTTTTGTTTTTCCTGTGGAAAAATCTCAAGGATATTGGCAAAGCTTCTCTTAAGATTGTTCTTTTGCAGATAGCCAGTTCTGAACAAGATTGTGAAAGGCCTTGGTTTTCTTACACTTGCTCTTGCTTTAAATAGTATTTTTTTGGCAAGCTGTATGCCATGTACACAAGTAGGATTACATGTTTATCTGGCTTGTTATCTGATCTTCAGTGTACAAAACCACAGTTGTATCTTGATTATAGTAATTGTTTAGATGTAAGAAAAGGCTCATGCACTACTGAGTATTGTTTAGCTGATCCTAACTTAGTAGTGTGTAGAAATTGAGGGAGAATAGGTATTTACCTCTAAAATAAACTGGATTCTCTGATTACATTGGAAAAAAAATTAATTTAAAAAAAGCACTGCTGTGTTCTCAGCTAGATTTGATAGCTTACATCCCATTTGCAGCTGAGTCTCTGTATTAAAACCTAAATTGTGTTGGTGTACTCTGTACTATCTTCTTTGACCTTGGTTTAGAAGAGCCGCTTATGCGTAAGAGTAAGCTCTGGTGACTTTAATAGCCAGTGAGTTTGAACATCCTTTTATTTAAGTCCTTATGTTTTAAGCTTGATTAATGAACTAAAGTACCTGGTGTATACCAGTTGGACATATTTGTACTGACCATCTGATGACCCTAAGCCTTTTGGGTGACCTCTAAACTGAATCAATGTGGAATGTCTACAGACTTCAAAAGAGAATTAAATTAGGTTTGAGTGCTAAATGATAGAATATCTCATGCCTATAGAGGTTTGGAAAAAGCCTCTTTATGTGCTTAAACTCTTGGGAAGAATTGATTCTTGGTGTAATGTTAATGATGTCCTGAGAATGTTCCCCGAAATAGTGGATTGTTTGGTCACGAGCTTGTTCTTAGCAGGGATGAGCTTGAGCGTACTCTTAAAGCACATGCTGATCTTAAAGATGCACTTAAGCCCTGTGGGATTTGAAGGTAAGCTGTGCCTGACAACACTGATGGAATGAGTCTTTCATCTATGATTTTCTGGTGTGCTTATGAGTGGTCGCTTCAGTCTGCCACAGGCAGCTCTCTCTTTCTGAGTGGCACATGGCCACTGTTGCCAGTATCTAGACTTGTCAAACCATTACGATCTGGCAACTTTGCATTTGTAGCTGCACAAGGGACTGGAAGTGTTTCTATGAGGTGACAGGCACTGAATATTGTCTCTTTCTTCTGTCTTCTAGGCTGGTCCTAGGATTTGATCTCTTGGTCTTTGTTTTTGGGAAGTTCCCAGTCGTCTTCTGTACTTGGCTGTGCATGTTCAGTGCCACGGTCATTGTTCCATACAACCTTTTTGTCTGGTGGGCACAAGGCTACTGCAGTTCCTCCCATCGTGTAATCCGCTCGCTCTTCTACGGGATGTTGTTCACACTCTTCCAGACAGCTGGGCTTGGATTTGGACCCACCTACATCGCTGTGTCCTACGCCCTGCCGCCGGCTTCCCGCTTCATTGTTATACTGGAACAGGTAGGGCCCTACACAGTATCTTTGGATAGATTGAATCTTGTTTTTAAAGTGGAAAAGGTCCTTTTTCCTAAGGAGGCAAGTGCTGCTTTTATTCATTAAATTAAGTCAGGGCTGTAAATGGAGTTTGTTTGACTTGAAGACAGGCTTACAGGCAGGAAGTCTAATGAGATAAAGTAGATAGTAAACTTCATTTTGACCTGGAACCCACTTGGTTTTTTACCCTGTGTTTAAGATTGTGGGTTTTTTTTGTTTTTTTTTCCTAAATGTACTTCATGGATGAAATTCTATTTATTTCTAGTTGTCTTGTGGGTGCTAAATATTTAAAACCAATTTTAATAACCTGTCGTGCCATAGTTCAGAAGGAAGCTGCAACATTCCTCTTAAAAAAAAAAAAAGGGGGCAAGTACATAGTCAACAAGTGGTTCCTGTTTCCTTTGCTGTTCCCCGAGAAACAACTCTCTTGATGTTATAATGAGAACTTCATTGAGGAATTTTCTTTTTTGGGGAAGAGTGCAAGAGTGTGGAGGGCTGGAAAGGCCGTGAGGTTAAGACAAGGATGGTCAGAGATGGGAGGGTAGGCTTGAAAGATTTAACTGTGGACTACCCCTCCTTTTTGTCCTTCACTGTTGAAACAGAATTCCAGCTCAGCACCTATGTACTATTTATGTGGGGCACCAACATATTCCAGGGTAGTGTAGTTGTTGTAGAACACATATAACTTCAGGGACTTGGTTTTAAGACTGGAAACATACTGGCCTATTGAAATGGATAGAGGTTTTCTTTTTTCCTTGAGTTTTAATGTTGGAAGCATTAGTGATGTGCTGGTGTTGCTCAGAGCCCTTGTGTACACTGTGGTGCTTGAGGTGTAAGTGAAATGTGTTTGGACTCTCCTGAGCTGTGATTTTTACTGCATGTTTCACCTTGCAGTGTTTTAAATTCATGTCAGTTTAACAGGCTTGGGGGCAGAGGAAGTAGCTGTTTCCTTCTGAAAGGGGTAAACTGGAGAGAAACCAAAATGTTGAAGGTGTTGCTTTAAAATGCTTGACCCAGTCTTTATTGGGAAATTGGGAAAGTGAGAGCATTAAAACTGATATTCTCTTGGTGTTACAGGTTCGTCTTGTTATGAAGGCTCATTCATTCATCCGGGAGAATGTGCCCAGAGTCCTGTCCTCTGTAAAGGACAAGTCCAGTGAGTAACTTGCCCTATGTTTTTTGACAGCAATGCATACCCAGCCCTTGTTTTCCCTCCATTGCTTTGAGCTGCCCTCAAGAATTGGAGAGGAAAGACTTGAGTAGGTGGCTTTGGATAGGCAGTTGATGATGCTCTAGGCTGACTTTCTGCATCATAATTTCAGCCTGAACCTCTTCATTTGGTAATAGGCAATGAGCTAAGCTGTTCAGGTTGAAGTCATCTCTGTCTGAAGTCTTCAACAGGACATGTCCTTCCTGCTTTTAGGAGAAAAAGGTGTGTAGAGGCTGCCTGCACATCCCCAGTTCAGTGCTGTAGTTGAAACAACAGCAATTATAGAAGCACAGAAGCTCTTTCAGCAAGACATGCCAGAGCTGAACATGAGCCCATATGTTGATACAGGCCTTACAGGTTCATCTTCCCTAGGAGGAGGTGAAATGTGATACCAAGGTGTTAGCACTGCACTACCTGTTAGTTGTGCTTGCTTCTTAACTATACTTCATGGTGGGGTAATTCCTCTATTAGGGCTACTTTGATTGAAAGGGTGGGATTTGCAGGGAATAACTTCCAGGCTGAGGATTTTTGCATTGGTAAGGTTTTGATGTTGTAAAAGGGTACTGGGGAAACCAAACTGTCAGTAAGCAAAAAGATTGCAGTGTCTTTTTTTACATTTTATTTCCCCCCCTTCTAGGCACAGTACCTGTTCCCACAATTTCTCAATACCTGTACTTCCTCTTTGCTCCCACCCTCATCTACAGAGACAACTATCCCAGGTAACATGAGCAACACCAACAGAACATGAAAATAGCCTAAAAAGCGAAGCAAACATTGTGTCCCTGGATGCAATCTGTTCACTTTTTGAGTTGGAGCCTTCATAAAGCTGTCAGTAACCTGGCAAGTGCAGGACTGGGTTGTGAAAACTCGCTCTAACACTGGTAGTATTTAGAGTTTACAGTCCTGGTTTTATTTCTTTGGGAAGTGCACTTACGTGAAACAAGTTAAGAACTTGCTACTGGAAGGCTAGTGATACACAGTTCCTGCAGGAGGCTTGTCAGTTGTTTCATGGGGTGCTTGTAAGCAGCCGTGTCTCTTGAGTTTGAGGAGGTAGGCTGAAGTCTCTAAAACCAGGAACTCCTAAACTTTTCTGTACTTTGCTGGGCTGCACTTTGCCAGTGTCAGCTCAGCAATCCTTTATGTGACTATTGGGCAGATCACCACCTCCTACATAATTGCATAATACTGCCCTCCAAGTACTTTTGCATTTATGGAATTGCCATAGTTGTCCTGTAGTTGAAAGTGAGGGACCAGCAGTTTGGGCTGACTTCTCTTGGATGTCAGAAGTTCAAGAAATCTGGAACTCAAAAAAAATGGTTTTTTTTCAGAGTATATATCAGCAAAATCAATAATTAAAGGGACAGGTTTGCTGCTTTGACATATCTAAATATATGATATGATATGTTCTTTTCCTAGGAATCCCACGATAAGATGGGGCTATGTAGCTACCAAATTTGCACAGGTGAGTAGTGCAGCTTTCTGAAGAACACACCTTCAGAGATAATCTAAACTGTGTTGTTGAACAGTTCTCCCTTTTGGCATTAAGTCACCGTTTAATTGGTGTGGGCTTAACACAAAATAATAGCTTTTTAGTGATTTTTAAAAAAGGAAATGGTGATCTTGTTGCACTAATGTTTGTGTCAAAGAAAAAAAAAAACTTTGCTTCAACTAGCCTTTAGAGTCAATTCCATACAAACAAAAGCTGTGTGTGGAGCCACAGCCATGCTCTGTCCCTCTTCACACTGAGGTTGTATTGTAATGCACTGGCACAGCTACCTGTGTGCACATATTCTGACTGGTCTGGAAGCAGCGAAGCCTGGACTCCAAATCTTGAGTGCCTCGTTGAGCTAACGTTGACCTCATCTTCACATTTCTGGACACCCCAAACCAGGACACATGAGCTGCATTAGCTGCTTGTGGATGTGTTTCCAAGTAATGGCTTTGTGTGATTGAAACTTGTATCGTAAGATGCGTTTGTGTTTTTAAACAAGACCATAAAAAAGAAAAATCGAAGCATGAAAAGGCCTTTGGCTCCATATTCCTTGACAGAAGAGGGTGACCAAGTGCACACCTCACAACAGTAGGAGTATTTAAACTATTTTGACCTCAATCTCTGGCTCATGAACCCACGTTCTAGAAAAGGGCTGAGGTGGTTTGGCCTGTAAACGTTTCCTTAGGGATAAAAGAAAAGTAAGCTTTCATGTTAAGAATAGTAAATATTTTTCAGTGATTTCTGCCCTTGTCTTGGACCTACATCAGAGGGTACTTCACCACTTACTTTGCAGGAGCACAAATCTTTTGTCATAACTTCGGAGTTGATAGGACCATGAGCAACTTCCAGCAGCTGTAATAGAAAAGACAAGTAGATTTTGCTCCTGTCAACGTGCTACAGATGGCTGTGGCTTATTTTCTGCTTGGACCCATAAGGAAGTTTATTAGCAGCACAATAATTTTGACTTGTGGTGGCAGCTGCCATTCCTCTCCTAGAGCTGTCAAGTGGTGATGTGTTAATGGTGTTTCTTTTATGGAGTCAGACTGTTTCTGGTTTTTGTTCCAGGTGCTTGGTTCACTTTTCTATGCCTACTATATCTTTGTGAGACTCTGCATTCCTCAGTTTCGCAACAGTAGTCAAGAACCCTTCAATCTGCGAGGGCTGGTCCTCTGCATCTTCAACTCCATTCTGCCAGGTGAGCCCTGGTGAGCGTTATTGAGATGGAAGGGGCAGAAGGGAGGGGGAAGTGCTTCATAACGAGATGCCTTCATGACAGGCCAAGATCAGCAAAGGAAGTCTTGTGGGCAGGCGACAGCATTCAGTGTTAAACTTTAGCATCAGCGACACAAAAAAGCTTTGGGTGCAATTGAACTGGCTTCAAAGTCAAATTCTGGGCTCTGTGGCAGCCTTGCTGTTCCCTTCTGGGCAACACGGTAGGCATGGCCTGGTGTGGTGAGAAACTGAAATGCTGTTACTTTTCTATAGGTAAAACAGAGCTCGTCTCTGTCAGTGCCTATAAGAACAGTTTTGACTGCTGCATGTTCCTGTTGGTAGCTGAGAGGAAACGCTACGATATCTCCCTGACTCTGCCTTGTTTCCAGGTGTGCTGATCCTCTTCCTGGTCTTCTTTGCCTTCCTCCACTGCTGGCTTAACGCATTCGCTGAGATGCTCCGCTTTGCAGATAGGATGTTCTACAAGGTAAGGAGCAGGAGCTATAAATTATGAAGCAAGCTTTGTAAAGTTTATAAAATTCACTTTACTTTCCTCCTCTTTCCTTTTCATTAGGAAAGATTGTTTTACCAAATAAAGCTTTAAGTTTGGGCTGTGCTGTAGAACAGATCTGATTTCTGCTTGGTGGCCTGAATTGTTTTAAAGGTAGTGTACTCTGTATGTGGACAGAACCAGCCACCAGGCCTACCCAATAGCTCTGTTAGCACTATTTTTGTTATTCTTTCATCTCAGTCACTGCAGTTTGGGTTAAAATCAAGTTTTGATATACAGAATAGAATGTTAAAAGTCCAATAAAATGTGTTATTTTGCAGTGCAACTTACTCCATTGGCTTGGTATTATTCTGATGAATAACTTTTCAACTTGGTATCTGGAAGACCTGTAGAATGCTTAGGTTTTTTTTCAACTGTGCTTTCAGGACTGGTGGAACTCCACTTCCTATGCAAACTACTACAGAACCTGGAACGTGGTAGTACATGACTGGCTCTATTACTATGCCTACAGGGACTTCCTTTGGGTGAGTAACAAGCAGATGTATTCTTTTTGTTTAGTAAGCATTTAAAAACCAAGCAAGATGGTACATTTGTCAAGATGCAGCATCACTGTCCATTGAGAGGCACAAAAATGCCTTGCCTCAGCTGTTGTGGACAGCCACAGTGCTTTTAGAGATCCGTTGCTCATTCTTAAGTCCTGAATGTGCTCAAAATGTGGGACTGAGACGTAGGAGTGTAAGGATTGACTCATCAGTCTGAACTCATGCTGCACTATTTTGATGAGCTATGGTAGATATTTGTGAGCAGGCTCAACCTGAGTACTTCTGCAGGAGATGAGCAATATGCCTGAACAGCACCTAAAAGCCAAGGTTCTCTGTGAAGCACTTAGTGTCTCACTTACATCCCTTGGCTGGGGCAGGCACTTCTTAGCTCAGATGGAAAAAAAACAACCCAGTGTTGAAACCACGGAAGTAAAAGCACAGCAAACACTTTGTATTCTTCTCTCTTCCAGTTTTTTGGTAAGAAGTTCAAGGCAGCAGCTATGCTGTCTGTCTTCACAGTATCAGCTGCTGTGCACGAGTATGTTCTGAGCATCTGCTTCGGCTATTGCTACCCAGTTCTCTTTTGCCTGTTTATGTGCTTTGGAAGTAAGTTCCCAGGAGCGAGTATGTGAGTGGGTTGTGGGGTTTGTGGATTTTACTTTTTTAAACAAGCACGCTTTGCCCTTCTGATAATGATGCCAGTTATTTCTTAGGCACTAACACACAGAACTGTTTCTTGTCCAAGAGTTGCTATTGTGGGCCCAAACTTGTGGATGGATTTGTGCAACGAAGCAGCTCAGTAGATATTTGTATTTATACACCCATGCAGTGGGTTTGCAAGCTTGGGACTTAGATGAGCAAAGTGCTGCAACGGAGGAGAGCTCTATAACAACAGCGCTGCTGTTGATGTGATGCTGTAGATGTTGTAACAGCACTACTTCCTCTTCACCAAGCCTTAGCTGAATTGCTGTACGTTAGCAGGCTGGAAGTCTTCGTCTTTAAATTCATAATTTTAGACAAGTGTTACTTTGCTACTGCAGTGAGGAAGAGAGCCCATTTAGAAGTTGGAGCTCTTGCATTTAATTCTGGGTTTTGAGTTAGAGGGCTGTAATAAACTCTCGATGATCTCTGCCAGATTGTCTTGGTCACCATTGTAACACTAACAATATTGACCCCGAGGCACATAGCTGGGCCAGCTTGTTGACAAACTTACTGGAAGTCAGTGTCAGAATCAATTCATAGTCATTTGCTCTACTGCCAAGCATAGTCAGGTCTTTTTGCACTATACTGGCCCCACGGAGCAGGATTTTTGCTCCAGAGATGAAGTGAAGGGAGGGAAGGATCCAGTGAAATACCACCTGCCCTGGAGGGATTTAAAAGATGTATAGGTGTGGTGCTGAGGGACATGGTTTATTTATGGACTTGTCAGTGCTGGGTTAATGGTTGCATGTGATGATCTTAGAATTGTTTAGGTTGGAAAAGACTTTTATGGTTGATCTTTGAGTCTTTAATCCTGATTTTGTTTCTGAACGATGCCTCTCGTTTCACCTCTTTCCAGTGGTCTTCAACTTCATCCTTAATGACCGTCGGAAAGGGCCTGTCTGGAACGTGATCATGTGGACTTCCCTCTTCCTGGGCCAAGGTGTCATCATTTGCCTATACAGCCAGGAGTGGTATGCCCGCCAGTACTGCCCCATGGAAAATGTGAGTGCCTAGTTGCTCCTGTGGGACAGCTCTCCATGCGGGTGGCTTGTCCCTTCTTGCTGTGGGGACGGGGCAGAAGTTGAATGGCATGAGCCGTTCTGGCAGTGTGCTGTGTCAGCTCATTAGGAGTTAATTCGTCTAGAAACTGTAGAGAATCTAGGAAAGCTTTTCCTAACGAAAGTGCTTTCAGTGGTCCTCTTTCTGTGCTGATAGTATTTCACTACTTGAAACTGAGGGTGTTCTCCCACATTTCTGAGGAGATAAGCCACCACTTGAGAGTACATGATGCCATTCAGGCTGAGTGAATGCAGCTGTAGCGCATGGCCAGTGAGGTCAGGAGAAACTTTCTAGGGGCCCACAAAAACTGAGTCTATTGTGCTTCTTCCAGGCTAGAGTGGGTGGCGGTGAGAACTGGGGTCTGTAAACGGTCAGTTTGGGTTTTTGTGGGTGTTCTTTTCTTGGAGTTACGACTCATTTTCTTGTGTACCGGCTTCTGTTCCATGTAAAAGTTCTTGCTGTCCTAGCTGATTTTCAGTTTTAACAAAAGGTGTCCTCAGGAAAACTCTTTAAGTTTGATTCTCCACAGTTAAGAGCTTGCTGTCATAAGTGACTGGCTTCTTGACACAATATGCTACTAGACACAGCATTTACCTCATGTAATAGAACTGGGGGTAGGGTGGGTAGCAGGCAAACAGCTTGTCACTGTAGTGAAGAATAGGATTGCAGAATGTGGAAAATGCAGTTTGATGTTTCCTGTTAGGGAAGTTTGGCTTCAGTGAACCACAGCACAGCTGGTACTGTAGGCCTGTGACTAACTTGCTGCCTCTCCATGTTTTGCAGCCCACGTTCCTGGACTACTTAAAACCACGCTCATGGTCATGTCACGTGAAGATGTAGAAATGGTATGCTCTGGCTGTGTCATCACAGAAAATCAGAGTTGTCCTACAAGTATTTGGACCAACAATGTAACTCTCTATGGACGTTTTCTAAGGGAAGTTGTGCCTCCTGATTACTGGGGAGAAACTGCAATTTTTTTTTTTTTTTTTTTAAAATGACTGAGGCAAACCAGTTGAACTGGATTGCCACAGGCTTCATAGCCAGCATCTACTATGTGCTGTCCCACTTTGAGCCATTTCTATGCCAGTAAAGCATTGAGCTGAAGGTGGAGTCTGCTGGAATCCTACTCATCCAGGGGTCACACCCAAGTTGCTGCTCTTCTGGACAATAGGTAGTCTGATCAGGTTGGATAGTAGCTCGTTGTTGGTGTCCGTCCATCTTCCTTAGCCATGCCTTTGCCATTTTTTAGTCCCTTTTTTGTAATGGGATGTCTACAAAACTTTCCTGTGATCCTGTCTGCTGCTATGATGTGGACAAGTGGCAGAGCAATAGGATATTTGCCTCCTTGCTCTGAAAATAGCCAAAGTACTCCTGGGTGGCTCTGAACAGCATTCTGTGTATGTTGGCTGCCTACAGACTTAAAATGGGCAGAGGAAGAGGGGATTGTCAGCTTACTTGAGGCTGTGTTGGAGAGTCGGGTCCAGAAGAAGGGCACAGTGTGTACAGTCTATGACATTTTACACTGCAAAACTTGTTTTCTCTGTATTTTTTAAGTTGCCTTTGCAACTTGAATAATAATTTTTTTTTTTTCCCTTCTCTTGCTCTAAATAATCGATTCTTTTAACATAATTAACTTGTGAAAGAGCTTTTGCTTTAATCTGACATGTGTATACAAGTTGTTAGGACTTCCTTTAATGAGAAAGATCCAAAATATGACCCAACTGTAAGAAAATGCAGTCGACCCTGCAGGTACAAAGCACGTTCTTATCTGAAATGGCTACTTCAGCGTGCCAGCACATCTTGGTGCCTCTCACCAGCATGCACTGCGGCAGCTCCTTATGCTGCCGGTGTGAAGCTGAGGGTTGACTCAGTGGCTGGAGTCAGCTGCTTTTTCATCTGCCTGTGTCTGCTCTCGTGTCAGTGGGGACTTCAGGTGAAGATCAGTTTCCCAGGTGTTGTCATCCTCTTTCTGAGGAGGTAGGACATGTTCAAACACACAGTGCAAGGCAGAAGTGTTATGTGAATTTGGTGTTTCCATATCTATTCCTTAGACACAGTCCCTTCAGCCCTTCTGTTCTGTCAGATGCTAAGCACAAAAGGGAACTTAGTCCCTGGGCACGTGTATCTCCAGTTTTACTGGAACTGCAGCTCGTGTTACTGGAGAGGGAGGGGTAACCTGGTGGAGGTACCTTAACTTTGGTCAGAGGGGTTTCTGAATTAGTCAAATGTTCTTTATTGGCACTTTTTGGTAACAGTTCTTCCTTTCTGACCTACAGCCAAGTATTGTACACCAACTGTTGGGACTGTTGATGAACTTCTCTCCCAATCCATTTAAGACTGTCGTTTGGGCTCCTATTTTTACTAGCCTGAGTCAAAAGTAATTCCATGAAAGCTCAGTGATACTGGAACTCTTCCAGGTTCTCAGTTTTCTGTAAGAAGGAATCCCACTCCTCAGAAGGGATGTTGTCAGGTCCAATTTGCCAAATACAGTGCTTGCATGTGTGGCTCTTCTCTGAAAGCATCTCCTGCTAGAACTTTTTTGTTGAAGCAGTTGGGTTAATTTCAGAGCAATGGGTTCATGTATATCCTCAAACTTGGCAGTATTAGTATATGAAACCCTGAGAATTAAATAGATTGCGTTCTTCTCATGCAGTTTGATGAATCCTAAATCTTTCACTGTACCTTTTGTGTGAGGAAGGGATGGAAGTGCTGGAGCAACTGACCTTCCTTTTTTTGCAGGAGGGGAAAAAAAAAAATTCACCCTTTGGCCAAACAACATTGTCACCTCCTTAGTGTAGGATGGAACTCTGTCCAGTACTACTTAGTTGTGGTGCTCAAAACACTCACGTACAGCCGTAACTGCACTCAAATAGGGTGTGCTGGATTAGGGACTTGATTTGTCATCTTGATGCCTGTGTTGGGTCTTGCTGCTGTCTCGGTGTTCTCAAAAGGAGATCAAATCCTGGCCCTTTGTGCCAAGTTTTGGTGTTTCCCTCACAGCTGGCACTGTTGTATCCCTAATAAAGAGTTTTGGCATTTACTGTGTCAGCATCCTTGGTGTTTGAAGCCTGAGGGCTTGCACATCTGGCAAGCAAAAGGCAACCAGAAAGGGATGCTCAGCTGTTGGAACTAGTCTTCGACAGGTTGAGGTTTTTAGTCTTGTAGATCAAGGCACCTGGCAACCGTGCTGTCAGGGCATTCATAATTGGGGTTACTTTTCATTTCATGGGGTTTTTTAATTGCTTTTGAATGTGGGCTTATTCTCATTTTTCTCAAGAGTACTGGAGGGGAAATATGAAGTTGTGTTGCACATTGCTTGCTTAATTAGAGTCAATTATACCATGTTACTTTGAGTTTTCTTGGGCTGCAAGCACCAGGGCTGGCAGTACGGTGTTCTGGTCAATAATGAGGATACTGAGGTTCACAACCTGCCCTTTACAAGTTCTTAATAATAGCATGTACTGTTTTCTGTGCTTCTTTCCAGCACATGAATTGTGCAGATTGCTTCCATGGTAACTCCCTCAGTCCTGAGCTTGGAAGCCTCCAGCTTTCAGATGGCAGCCAGTACAGCTGCAGCTCCTTGCTCAGTAACATCACAAAAATCAGTGTTAACATGGTGAGGTGTGTCCTGGTTTTCATGCAGATGACAGTTTGTTCTCAGGAAGAACCTGTGTGGAGTCTTCATGCCTAGAACGTCCTCTCTGTTTCGGGTGCTTAGCTTCCAGCCTTTGGAGGTGGAGCAGTCCTGCCTCTGAGCTGGGAGCTGTATGCCGTCCCCTGGCAGCCACCCGAGCACGGCGTGTGCCGCAGTGGGAGCGGGGACAAATCCTGGTGTTTCCCAAACGTGAAACGGCCTGGGCTGCGCGAGTCGGTCACGCCTGAGGGAGAGGTGAGCTGTTGGAGCTCCCACCTCCTGCGTGCAGACAGCTGGAGGGACGGTGTAGCAGCGTGAGCTCCGAGCAAGCCCACGCGCTCTGCGGCACCAGGGCTGGAGGCAGCTCCCGGTCTCCTCTCTTCTCCCTGTGCTTGTTGCCAGGGTGAGAAGCCATCGCTGCCCTTCACCTGTGGTGGCGGGGGGAGAGGAACACGGGCAGAAGGTGTCCCAGCAGCCACAGTCTCATGCAGCGTGCCCAGACCCTGGCACCAGCGGTTCCCTGTCTGCAAACTGTACTGTGTTCTGTCTTGCAGAAGAGCTGTTTATAATCTACTGTATTACAGCAGTTGAAATATATTTTGCTATTGGGGGAAAAAAAAAATGCCTTGTCCTGTTTCTTTCTCCTCTGAGGCTCCTGATTTGGGGTATGTTGGAGTGGTAGGAGGGCAAAGGGGAGGCTGGGGGCAGGGTAAGATATGTGGGGTTGCTTTCCTGGGGAGGTGGCTGCTGCGGGGAGATGTGGTCAGAGCCTTGTGGGCCTGGGGAGGAAGGGTGGGGAGGGGTTGGGCCTCTTCTAGAATGCTGAGAAGAGTCCTGTGTTTCCATGGTGATGGAGCCAGAGAGGAGCTGCCTGGCAGGTAAGGACTGGGGCTTGAAGGTACAGGGAGCGGGGACAGTGACTGTGGGGTGTCCTGAGGCCACCTGTGCTCCCCCCACGAAGCTCCAGGAAGTCCCAGCCCTCCTCTGTGGGGCTGCAATTTTCACCTTTCCCAAGGGTGGCAAGGAAGGGGGAGGGATGGAGACGCTCTTTGGTGGCAGACCCAAGCCTGGAGGCACCAGGTGGGACCTCTAGAGAGTGGGAAGGAAGTCTCCTTGGCTGGGTGTGTAGGAAGAAACTTATGCAAGCCCCTTGTCAGGTCCTAAAAAGCAGGAAATGGGAGAGCTACATACAAGCTGAGAAGGGTCCTTGGGGCTTATAAACTGTTGGCCACCACATCTCTGTGAGAGGAGAGGATGTCCTTGGAAGTGCCAGAGAGGTAGAGTTGATGGCTCTTGGAACTGATCACAGTTTCTAACCTCTCTTGATTTAATATGTATTAAATTGGAGCAACTGCCAAATGTATAGCATGCTGGTGATTTCTGCCTTTATTTTGGGTCTGAATAGAGTTTGTGTGCCAAGAACTTAGTGTGATACTTCCCAGCTGTGTATCACATGCTCCAAAGTCTTGTCCGTGTCCTTAAACTGTAACTGCTATAGAACAGTACCATTAATTTTCCCATCC